AGTGCCTGACACGGACTACGTTTTTAGATGCATTCTGTTATTCATTACTCCAAGGACACCCCTCTTCCCCTAACCATCCCCTGTCTGAGTGTCCTCTCTCTGTGGAGACCTAAGCCCCTCTTTGCTCACTCCTGGCTCCCAGAAGTCTTCTCCAGGCCTCCCGTGACCCCGTTAGGCTGCAGCCTTCATCTTGGTTTCCCAGCGAGGGCATTAAGGGAAGGACTGGCCAGAACATGTGAGCATGTGCACTGAGGGCTCAAAGTGAAGAAAAAGACTCCCCTCCTGGCCCCTCAGCTCCGCCTCTTCTCTTCCACTCCCCTCAAAAAAACACCCGACTCATTAGGAGCCCCAGCAGCCGGGCCCTGGCAGAAGCCTGGTGAAGCAGCAATGAGATCATTAGCACCCGCCCCAACCCACCTGCGTGGAGCCCCTCAAACACCTTTTAATTATAATCCCTTAATCTCCCTCAGATGGCAGGGCTGGCTCTAGGGCTTTTGCCCAGCGCAGCCCCTTTCCTTCTCTCTTTCCCCAATTAAGGGGTTCTCTTGGTAGAGAGCCCCTATCCCAGCTAAAGGCCTCTCAGCCCCGGGAGGAGCAAGATCTGTTGCTCTGTCTCTTTTTCCAGGGACAGTGACCCCAGGTAGCCATTCAGGTCCACCTGGAGGCTCCTCTGCAGGCAGAGCTGAAATCCCCACCACCGCATGCCTCCTGGCTGGGGGGCTATTGCTGAGATGCCTGAAGACCCTTTGTCTTCCTGGTTGGTCTACTCTTGTCCTGGTGTCTTTGTGTTCCCTGGGAAGCATCTCCCACTGGCCCTTTACAGTGACTTCTATTCTCCTGTCAGCCCACCGGGGCCACCATGTCTGAGCCAATGGCCTCTTTGGCATCTCCTTCCAAGAGCCACCACCAGGTTGTATCACAGGTGGAATTGAGGCCAGATCCCTGGCAGAATGTCTCCTGGTGACAGCCCTATTTTGACCTCCAGCTGACCTTAGTAGGGGTCAGCCTTGCCCTCCTGCCCCCCAGGTCCACTCAGGGCCCCAGGCACCCTCAGCCACATTGGGGCTGGCAGAACGTCGGGCCGGTCTATATCCCTGGAGCTTCAAGCAGGGCAGAGGCAGGGGGAGGGACAAGATGACCCAGCATGTGGCCCTGTCTGAAGCTGAGCCTGGATGAACCTCTTTCCTGGGAAAGTTCTGTCACTAATTGACTTGCAAATGCCTTGTTTGTCCCCAGATTCATAATTAGTGCTAAGTATTTCTAGGGCCCCATCCTGGAGGGGCTTTTTTTGGGGGCAGCCTGTTCCTCTCCTCCTCTCTGAGGTTGACCGGGCTGGGGGGTGGGCAGAGCCGGGCACCGGTGCCCAGCTGCCATCCAGCATTCCCACGGCTCTGGTGCCAGCGTGTGAAAGGCGAGGTGCGGGGGGCGTGGGGGCTGGGGCTCCCCGCCATCCTTCAGCCGGGACCTCGGCCAAACCCCGAGGCTCCAGGAAACGACAGAGCTGGGGAGCGGGCTGTGGCAGTGGTGGGGGCTGGCTGGCACCCCCAGGAAGGAGAGCCCAGCCAGTGCCGGGGGCTGGCATCAGCTGAGCTCCGGCACGATGAATGGACCAACAAGGGGCCTCTCTTCCCCACGGCTTCTCCACAAAGGCCTTGGCTACGCCATTGGATGTGGGGGGCCGGGGGCCACCAGAGGAAGAGGAGAGGCTATTCTCAGAGACCCCTCCACCCCTAGCCTCAGCACTCCTATGGGCTGGGGGCCGAGGGGCCAGAGTTTAGGCCCAGTTTCTATTTGGATCTGCTGAGCGAGTGGGCAACTGTTTCAACCTCTCTGGATCTCAGTTTCCCCACTGGATCATCCCTGGCATCTTTCCCAGCCCTCATGGTCCCCTCTTGGTTGCTGCCCACCTAAGTTCCCCAGTAGCCTTCCCTGACACTGCACTGGCAATTCCCAGAGCTCTGCAGGCCCTACAGGACCTCCCCTCAGGGTACATCAGGCGCCTGCTCCAGGCACAGCTCTCCCACCCCTGGTGCCCTTCCTCCTCTCCCCTCAGGTAGGAAGAGCTGTTCAGTGTCTGCCAGGAAGCAGTGGGAAGGGTCTAAGCTGTGGCTGCCTGCCGTAGAGTCGGACAGGCCAGGGCCTGGCCACTTGCAAACAGTGTGATGTGGGCAAGTCTCTCTGCCTCTCTAGGCCTCATCTGTAAAAGGCCTCACAGGGTTATCACCGGGATCCAGTGAGACTGAGCAGAAGGTGTTCTGTGCCGGGCCTGGCAGGGAGTGGATGCTCAGTCACAGCTCCTCCCCTCCTCTTCCCCAGCCTCCCTCTCAAAGCTTTCTGTCAGTTTGCCTGTGTTTTCCTGTGGCTGAGATGTCCTTTCATGATTCACCCCCATCCTTTTTACCTGGCCCTCTCAGCAGCCCCTCTATATTCCCTATTTCATCTCCAGTTCCTTTCCCAGAACTAGCCATTTTTTTGGTAAGTCCTTCCTGAGATCTAACCTTCTATTGCAGGTTGCCTCTCCCCAGGCCTGGCCTCTTCCCAGACTGCCCTGCAGCTGGAGCCCAGAGGGAAAGGGAGGAGGTGGGCTCTATGGTAACCCTGAGAAGAGAATGCCCTCTCTCCTCATCTGCATACAGACGGGCTCATTTGCATACAGACAGGCTTCATCTGCATATGCTCAGTGGGACTCTGAGAGCACATTCCAAAGTGTCCTGCCTGGGTCCTCCCACCCGAGTCCTGGCATCTCTGTCTAGGGAGGGGCCCTACCCCGCCCCTTTTGCCCCTGTCTGGGTCTGGGTCATTCTGTTTCCAAAAGGCAGCCCACCCTCTGGGGCCCTCTCCTGCTTGCTGTCGACCCTGCCCCGCTTTTCTTTACTGCGCTCCGAAGAATCCTTTCTATCCATCTCCTCCTGCCTGCCCCGCTCCCCTACCCGGGAGCCTCCCCTCCAAGCCAGAGGCCAGGAGAGGAGGCAGAGGGCTGGCTGATTCTCCCTGCTCAGGCCCCCCAACACCGTGGTAAGGGGATCATGAAGACTAATGCTCAGGTTGTGGGGTACAAACAAAAGCGGGGGGAGGGGTGGGCAGACCTCAGAAGCTTCCTTCCCACCGATGACCTCAAGCCAAATTCTGCCTCCAGTCACCTCACCTCCCAAGGGCCACAGTGGGTCCTGGCAAGGCTAGGAGGTGGGGGGGCCCCAAAATGAGGGCTGGAACCTCAGAAGCACTGATGAGCCCCCAGGTGTGGTGAGACGGCTCAGCCCCCTTGACATGGCAGACTGTGAAGCAAAGGAAACTGCCTCCTCCTCCCAGCAGCACCCTCTGCCTCGGTCAGCCCACCGAGTCCCAGTTCTGGGGCTCCTGCATGTACAGGTCAGGGGGGACCCTGGGATCCTTCTCCCAGTGGGCCCCCAGCATGCTGAGGACCCTGAACATAGCCCTTCTCCTCTCTGGCCTCAGTTTCCTCTATAAAATGAGGAACTGGGTAGACCAGGTGGCTCCTGACGTGATCCTTCCTCCTGGAAATAGTGCCCGCCCAGGCGCCTGGCCAGCATTCTGCATGCAATTTTAGAATTTGCAAGCATTCCCTGAGGTCCAGATTGACCTCGGGCTAGGAGGCCTAGTCTAGAACTGAAAAGGCTGAAGTCGGTGTTTAAAAGGAAGGGAGGAATTTATACATATGTGCTTGGTTGTCTATGGAGGAACCCAGGGAGGACAGAGGTACCAGTTGTTGCCTCTTGGGAGAGGAGGTGGGTGGCTGGGGGCAGGGGTAGGAGGATGTAATTTCCCTTTTGTGCCGTTAGAGTTGTGTCATGTCTATTATCTTAAGCTTTTTCATTCAGAAAATTTCTAGGATTCAAAGTGTAGTTCTGTGGAGAGATTATGGAAGGGAGGAAGGACTTTCTCGAGGGTGATGGAGAGCTTAAATGGTGCCAGTAGTCTAGACTCTGCTAACATCCCCAGCAAGGCTCTCTGGAAAGGAGGAAAGGCCTATCTTTTCGGGGAGCATGTTGGATACAGATGTGTTATGGAGAAAATGAGGGCCGGGCGCAGTGGCTCAAGCCTGTAATCCCAGCACTTTGGGAGGCCGAGGCGGGTAGATCACGAGGTCAAGAGATCGAGACTATCCTGGTCAACATGGTGAAACCCCATCTCTACTAAAAATACAAAAAATAGCTGGGCATGGTGGCGCATGCCTGTAATCCCAGCTACTCAGGAGGCTGAGGCAGGAGAATTGCCTGAATCCAGGAGGCGGAGGTTGTGGTGAGCCGAGATCGCGCCATTGTATTCCAGCCTGGGTAACAAGAGCGAAACTCCGTCTCAAAAAAAAAAAAAAAAGAAAGAAAGAAAAAGAAAATGGGGTCAAGAGTACAGCCCTGGTTTTTTGCTATGGCTTTCCTGCCCTCTCAAGTTCCCCCTCAGGCCTTGTTATTGTTGGGAAGTCCTACCTGCTGTCTAATCCGAATCCTCTTAATAGTCATATTCATTCTCTTATGTTTCCACTGAGGGTGGACAGAAAAGCAGCAGGAACGGATGACTCTTTGGGGCAGGGGTGCTCCCTCTATGTGGTCTGTTCAAACCCAGAAGGACGTTTCTGAGAGTCCTTTAGTGGAGAAGACAGAGGGCCACTCAGTGACCTCCTACACAGGCACCCCGGGGGAGTGTGACCACCCTCTCCCATTCTTTTGATACCTCGTATGGCACCTAGGTGCTTCCCTGGCTGGAAGCATTAGCACATGACTTAGGCTTGGGACTGACCAGATTATGGACAACGTTCTCGGGAACCTTGGGGTGGCTGAGGGTGGTGGTGGAAGGGGCCAGGATGTTCACCCATGGCTCACCCCCTACCAGATAGGAGTTCTGGTATGAGAGGCTCCCCTGCTTCTGTTGCAAGGTTGGCTTCTGTATCACAAATCTCTGTCGAAGGAAGTCCCAGTATCACCCCCTCTCTTTCAGCCCTTCCCCTTCCAACCCTGTACAGGTATATCCACTACCACTATTAATGTGATTCAATATTCAAGAGTCTTTATTGAAGACTTGAGATGGGATTTCCATCTCAGAGAATGTGGGAATCCCAGCTCAAACGATACAGGATAAACTGGGATGGGCCAAGATGAACAGGTTGAGGATATGACAGTCATGGGTCAAAGTCCTATCCCAGATGGCTCCAGGTATAATGGGCTGCCCAGGCTGGAAGCTGGGTCCTCCCTACTTCCGTTCTGCTCAAAGCTTCTTGAAGGAGCTGGTTTGACTTCGACTCGCTAGAGACCAGCGTCATCTTTCGGTCAATTGGGAAGGCTCCTCATACGGAATCCAAATGGATGAAGTAAGTTTTCTTTTTGGTCTGAAAAGAAAAATTATCAAGTATAAAGAAAAAGACTTTTTTTTTTTTTGAGTTGGAGTCTCATTCTGTTGCCTAGGCTGGAGTGGATCTCAGCTCACTGCAACCTCTGCCTCTCAGGTTCAAGCAATTCTTGTACCTCAGCCTCTGAGTAGCTGGGATTACAGGCATGCGCCACCATGCCCGGCTAAATTTTGTATTTTTAGTAGAGATGGGGTTTTGCCATGTTGGCCAGGCTGCTCTCAAATTCCTGACCTCCCAAAGTGTTGAGATTACAGGTGTGAGCCACTGCACCCAGTCGAAAAATACTCTTTGGATGGAGACTTTAGAAGGAGGCAGAGATCAAACTTCCAGCAGTCTTGGAAGAAGCTCGCTTCCATCAGGCAAGGTGAGGAGCTAGGGACGGAGTCATCACAAAGGGATCCACCGTGATGGTGGCTTGAGTCTAGGCACCTCTTCTAGGTGCTCTATCCAAGGCAATGGGGGGTGGGGGGAATACCTAGGGCAGAAACTCAGACCCCAGGCACAGGAGAGATTAGGCAGGGAGCCCAGCGGCTTGCTTTGGGAAGACAGGGAGCAGACTGCACGTGGGCTAAGGACCAGTCCGGAAGAATTGCGGTCACTTCCACGGCTCCCAAGGCCTCTTCCCCAATCCTGTCTTCAACCTTCAAGATGTTTATCATCCCTTAGATTTTACCCCTACATCCGAGAACATGCCAAGATTTCCACCTGCCTATCTGGTCCTCTCTTCTCTCAGTCCCTCCATTTGTGTTTCAGAAGTCAGCACAGGGGAGGAAGCGAACATATGCTTTGGGGTCTACAAAGCCCCACTTGAAGCCCAGCCCAACTTACCAGACCTGTGACTCTGGGAAAGTGTCTTAGCCTTCCTGAGGCTTTGATTCCTCCTTCATAAAGTGGGGACAGTATCACCCGGTTTTCAGGGCCGTTGGGAAGATTGGCTGAGACACTGGCTACGAAACGGCTTACACAACCAAATGGGTGCAAATCGGGATCAGCGCCTTCCTTTCGGGGTGGGGAAGCTCTGTCCAGGAAAGGCGAATAAACCCTGTAGGGGCTGTACAGGAGCCAGGTGTCAGGCACAGCTTGTGGGAACAGCCTTCCTTTCCTGTCCCATCCAGGGTGGGGAGCCAGCAGCTTTGGAAACCCTGAAGTTCACCTTCCGTGGCTTCTCCAAGCGCCTTAAGATCTGAGAAGAGAATTTCAGAAAGAGGAGGCAATCTCAGCCACTTCCCTGCATGGCCTAGCTCCACTTAGACCAGTGTTGCCCTCCCTATTCCTAGATTCTCCTCAGCCTCTCCCAGCTCACTTCCCTCCTCCCTGCCCCAGCTCCTCCTCCCCCTACCTTTGCCAGATCTCCAACCTTGACCTTGACAGTATGGAGGAGTGGGGATGAGAAATCTGCCTTGTCCATCCTATCAGGAGCCCCTCAGATGTAAGGACTCTGACTTCCCCAAACCTGGGCTCTGCCAGGCTTGTTGCCCCGACTCCCTCTGGCCCTCTTCCTGGCCCAGGCTGGCTCCCAGGTCTCGAGGTGGGCCAGCTGTTCCTCAGCCCCTCTAAGTCTGCCAGGGTCTCTCCTCCCACACTCTCTTGCCCATTCCTTGCTCTAGATCCTCAGCCCACCTGGGAGCCCTGCTATCCCTTGAGTGGCTAGATTTGGGGGAACGACAGAAGAGACTGGTGTCTGTCAGCGCTTGGGAAGGGTTGGTGGATGCAGCTCCATGCGGGGCCCTCCCCTGGGTGGGGGAGGAGGGGTACAGATGGGACAGCCTCCCGCCTGTTACACCCTCCCAGCCCCAGACAGAGCCAAGCTCTCTTAGCAAGGATACAGTAGCAGAGGGCTGGGAAGGAAGTGGGGCGGGGCAACGATGATAAAATAAATTATTCCCCGCCCCGCCCTCCCAGCCCATCCTTCTTCAGTTGGGAATGGCTTTCTTTTTCTCTCCACCTGCTCCTCATTCAGGATTCCCTCAGCAAAGCTGGCCTCTGCTTAGTGCCTCTTATAGATGCCCCTCGAGGTCAAGGTGACCATTCTCTGCCTTCCAGTTGGGCTCCAGAAGGAAGGGACTCTCACTCTCCCAGGATCTCTCTGAGACCCTGTTGGAACGTTCCCCCCAAGGCAGGAGCTGGGAAACTGGCTTCCAAAGGGGGCACCCAGAGGACCTGGAAGACTGTCCCTATTCTATAGTCTCCAGCTCCTGACTCTTTCTGGGGTGCTGATGGGGGCACGGAAGGGAAATTTTAAAGCATTCTGTGGCATTTACTGCTCTTCTGTAAACAAAAGGTTTGGGTGGGAGCTCCAAAATCTTTAAGGGACGCTCAGACCTCTCACCAAGCGAGCCAGTTCTCAGTTTCCCTGTTCTAATAGCTGGAGTCCGGGAACCTTTCTGAAGTAACTGAAGGTAGGTGGTATTCCTTCCTTACCTCTCAACTCAGCCAGGCCAAGCCAAGGGCCGAAGAGCTGGTGCTATAGCCGTGTAGATCTTGGTTAGATATTGAGAAGGACTTCCCAAGACAGGAATACGCAAGATCATGGAATTTCCTGGTTGGAGAGAGGAAAGGTCTGTCTTAGTTGCAGGAAACTGGATGGGAACCTCTTGAATTCTATCTGATTAATTCTTTCTTAGCCACGTTAAATAACACGTAGAGAGTGTCTGGCACAGAGCCTGACACATAGTAATCCTCCACTTTGGCTATTTTAAAAATCATATGTTATTATGAATTTTTACTGGATGGGTATCAGGAGGAAGGGCTAAATCCCTGGAGACCCATCTCACACCCTCTAGGAACCCCACGGGAAAATCCAGATAGGAGCTAGTGCGCTGAGTACAATATGGCAGCCAATTGTCATGGCAACAGCAGAAGAAGGAGGCTGGTTGGCTGTGGGGGCGGTGCTGGGAAGCCAGCTGGTGCCAGATGGACAAACCCAGCAGAAGGCATCCCCAGCCGGGTGAAGCTGATGCCCGTGCCCAGGGCTCAACCTCCATATGCCAGCCTCAGCCTGGTCCTTCCCTCCAGGCCTAAAGGCCCCATTGCTGTCTGTGGGGGATGATGCCAAAACCATTCCTCCTCCTGACTCTTGCTTGTATAACAAGGAATGACTGCTTGGAGACAAAAGACTGTCCTGCTCAAGGTCCCCCTGACCCATGGGCTGACGGATCTAAATAGGTCTGAATTACGCTCACTCCTGACGATGCCGAGGAGCCATCATATCGGGGACTTGAGAGGTCCTGAGTGGCAGGATGTGGAGGCACCATTGTGTGCCCTCAGTGGAGATTCCACAGCGGTTTGTGCTGCCTGGAGGATGAGATGAGGGCTGCAGGGAGGGGCAGGGCAGGTTAGGGGCAATGCGGCTGAGCTGCACCCTAGCTGTCCCCTCCTCCTGGCATGCTGGATGGCATTTGCACCTGGCCAGCAGATAAAAGAAACTGCTGTCAGTGGAGTTCACTACCTAACCATAAACAGCGGGTCCCTCTCGAAACCGCCTCAGCAAGATGCTTACCTCCTTGAGACCACGAAAGCCCCAGCCACAGGGCCCAGCCACATTTCTCAGTCAGGCTTCCGCTACGCAATGCACCCAGTGATCCGTGGCCCTCGCAGCTCAGGAAGCTGTCCTCAATTGCCCCCACCTACCTCAATGGCCCCTAGAACCGTGTCCCTCTGCCCTTGGCATTTAACACTAAACATCTGCACACAGCCTTAGTAAACACTCACTCCAATCACCCCATGTGATCTTCAGCATAACCAAGGAAGGCAGTTAGGGTCTAAAGACATGAAGGGACTTGCCTAAGGTCACCCAGTGAGTAAGTGGGGGAAGCCAGAATTTGTATCCTGACCAGACTGTCCAATTCCAGGGTCAAAAACCAAGAGTTCCTTCTTTTGCTGTCCTTCAGTGGACAAAGCTCCACTGAGCATCACACCCAGCAGCTGAGGTGGTGTCCGCCAGCATTCTACTGCGTCACACATCCCGAACCCAGACATTCACTAGAAGGGCCAGTGCGGGCCGGGCACGGTGGCTCACGCCTGTAGTAATCCCAGCACTTTGGGAGGCCCAGGCGGGCAGATCACTTGAGTTTGGGAATTTGAGACCAGCCTGGCCAACATGGGGAAACCCTGTCTCTACTAAAACTACAAAAATTAGCCGGGTGTGGTGGCAGGTGCCTGTAATCCCAGCTACTCCAGAGGCTGAGGCAGGAGAATCACTTGAACCTGGGAGGCGGAGGTTGCGGTGAGCCGAGATCACACCAGTGCACTCTAGCTTGGGTGACACAGCAAGACCCCGTCTTCAAAAAGGGCCAATGTGCCCAACAAGGGCTGGGGGTGGACGGACTGGTGCGGGGGTGGGGGGGAGGTCTCTACATATTGCTGATTAGTGGTAAGTGACACTGGGGCCAGGCCAGGAGAGGAGCCTCTCTAGGGGAAGGTAAGAGTGGGTGTGGAAACCGGGGTGAACTGGGACTCCCTTCTAGCTCTGGTCAATCTTGTTTTCCACCCTCCCAACACAGCCCTCCCTGGAGCAGGAGCGGGAGTGCTGGAGACCCCATGCTGGGAAGATGAGAGAAGCTCTGGCGGGGTCAGTCCCAAGAGCATCAGGAGAGAGCATGTATGAGCTGGGAAGAAGACTGCAGAGACCTGGCAGGATCGGGAGTTATAGCCTGGAAAACACGGGGAGGAGGCAGGGGCAGGTCAGGGCCTGGGTGCTGGGACCCTGGATGATGGGGAGGAACCCGTCCTGGGGACAGCTGGACCAGACCATGGACGGCCTCACCGTGAGACCCCGGCCTGGCTTCAGCTTCTCTCTACTTCCTGCCCAGACCTGGTTAAAGCCTGAGGCCACCTCTCAGCCCTCCCCCACTTCAGCCTCATTCTGCCCCACTCCCTGGGAGCTAAGCCCCCTCACCTGACAGGGCCACTTCCACGGCCACTCACAGAGGAGTCTTTGTGCACAAGCCGGGCCTGGGGGATGGGCGGTGGTGGGCACCCCCACTCACATTCCACCCAGCGGCCAGCAGCAGCCTCTCCATCTTCCCATCTGCCTCTCCAGCCTCTCATCCCCTTTCTCGAGGAAGAATTCCTTCAGAGCCTTAATCCAGGCTACTACCTCACCCCCAACTCCCTCCCTCAGGAGGGCTCCAGGGCTGAGCCCCTTCTCTGCTGCTTCGCTCCGGCCCCCTCAGCCACACAGCCCTGACTACTGAACCTTTTTTTTTTTTTTCCATAAGAGAACTCAGAGACTAGTTTGTTGCCCCACAAAGTCAGAGCAGTATCTCTGTCCCCTACCCCCAGAAGCCCCTCGCCTGCCCTGACCTCAGGGTGTCCATTGTGCTGGGGGACGCCAACCTCTGCTTCTCCACGTCTCTCCCCAGAGAGCTCCCACAAGCCTGCTGTCCCGCATATGGGGTGCGGGGCGGGGGAGGGGGGAAAGGAGGGCTTCTGAAGGGGGGTGGTAGAAAGATCTCTTCCTCAGGGGGCTTCCAGGTCTTTCAGACGTCCTTCATTTGTTTGGAACTAGCTGAGAGCCAGTTAAATGTCTGGCTGGGCTCAGTGGGCAGCCAGATGCAGGAGTCCCCTTCCCTCCCAGGAGTGGTTGTGTGTTGGTCTCCAGCCACGCCCTACTGCGGCTGTCAGCTAACTGCTGCAGCCTCCCTCGTATAGCACGTAAGGCGCTTTACAGGGGACCTCCTGCCTCTGTTTCCCTTTTCCTCCCAGCACAGACTCCCTGCGGTGGTCATGCTGGTTCCCAGACACACCCTGCTCTTCCTTGCCTCCCTGCCTTCTCGAATGCTGTGGACTGTCCACCACCTACCTCCCAGACTCTGTAGACTGCCAAACACCTGCTTATCTTGTATCGCATATCTCTTGGCCTCCTCCAGGAAGCCTTCCTGAGCTCCCTTCCTCGTGCTCCCACAGCACTTTGTGCAGGTCTTCAGGACAGTGCTTTCCAAACCATCTTCTAATCATTCGTGCGTCTGCCTCGCCTAGGAGACTGCCAGCTCCTCAAAGCAGTCCCCTTGAGCATAGCTCCTGGCACACAGGAGGCCCTCAGTGCCTGCTGAATGGGCTGACATGGAGGCAGGGGTACCGGAGGGAAGGGTTTGGATGAGAGAGGTGCTACCCAGGAAGAAGTGATGGGTTTTGATGTGACTGATTTGAATGTGGGGACAAGTCCAGGAAAACGTTCAGGAGCTGAACCTGAGGGCCTAGGGTTTTAATGAGGCTGCTGACAGAGGTAAGGCAGCAGAAGCACAATGCAGAGGGAGCATCTGAACCGCCCTCCTGGATTTTGGTGGGAGGCTGTACTTTGATGCCACTACATAAGCTACAAACATGGGTACTTTCTGGGCCCTCCTTGCAGCTAGAGCCTAGGCCTGTGATCCAGGCTTGACCAAGCAGAAGTACCGTCCCAGTCCCTAATCTGGCGACAAATGGCAGGACCACAGGTGGTAGCTGGCCGCTGGGGGTACAAATCTGGGGTTTAGGAGAGGTCAAGACTAAAGAAACGATGGGGAGAGGCTGGGTGCAGTGGCTCATGCCTGTAATCCTGGCATTTTGGGAGGCTGAGGCGGGTGGATCACCTGAGGTCAGGCGGTCTGGACCAGTTGGCCAGGCTGGTCTTGACCTCCTGACCTCAGGTGATCCACCCGCCTCAGCCTCCCAAAATGGAAGAACGGGTGAAACCCTGTCTCTACTAAAAATACAAAAATTAGCTGTGTGTGGCTGCATGCCTGTAATCCCAGCTACTAGGGAGGCTGAGGCAGGAGAATTGCTTGAACCTGGGAAGCGGAGGTTGCAGTGAGCTGAGATTGAGCCATTGCTGTATCTCACTCCAGCCTGGGTAAAAGAGGAAGACTCCGTTTCAAAAAAAAAAAAAAAAGAAAAGAAAAAGGAAGGAAGGAAGGAGAGAGAATTTATAACTTCAGGTGATGGTTGAACTGATAAAAGTAGAGTGAGAAGGAACAGGACAAAAGCACCACCAGCAGAATCTGGGACCCACCTCTAGCTAAGGAACTGGCACATCCAGAGTACTGACTGAATGGAACCAAGAACAGACAATCATGGATATAACAGAAGAACCAAAGGCTGAGAAAACAGCGGAACATTTTCCACAGAGGTCAAGGAGGACTGGGCTTGGGAAGGGCCAGTGGTCTTTGTTGAGGAGGCTGTGAGTGGCCTCTGAGAGGGTGCAGGTTTACCAGAGGAAACCAGAGTGCTGGGCTGAGGAGAGAAGGTGGAGCATCACCTCAAGTACGCAGTCACCTTTCACAGGCCCCAGAGAGACCCTCAAGCTGGCAGATGATACTGCCTGCCCACGTCTTACCCTCTCCCTCCTCCTGCTGATACTCCCCATTCTGATTCCTCCGGTACTTTTCACACTACCCACAGTCCTCTAAGTCCTCTGGGAACTAAGCCCGGTGCTGAGGCCTCTCTACATCCCTGCTCCTGTGCTCAACTTTATGTCTCTTCCGCGGGCCGCCATTGGTCTCTCCCTCCCTCCTTCTCTCCCCATCCTCTCTTCCTAACTCCATTAGCAGGAAAATTCAACAATATTTCTCATCAGCCAGGAAGTCCTTCCTATGGCCTCGGTCTTTTCCATGTCCACCTACCAGGGCAGGCTCTCGGCGCACACCTGTCGGGTCAGCCATCTTACAGGCGCCAGTTACCTAAGATGGCGGTCTCCCTCACCCTCCGCTTCCGTTCCCACAGCCTTGCCTCCTACCCCTGCCTCTTTCTTTCTGAAGCCTGAGCGCAACAAGGTGGGGGGCCAGGCTGGGGAGCCAAGGCCGGAGGAAGCAAGACAAAAAAGGACAGAAAAGCCGGCCCCTTGGCATCTCTCTTTGGCATTTGAGTCCAGCTCAGGGAGGGAGGGCAGAAGGGAAGAAAGAAAGTAGTGTAAGTTTTTATTTCTGTCCTCTTCCTGCCACCTCCCCCTGGTCCCTCCCCCCACACTTTGATGAAAACAAAATATCTCCCCTTTTCTCTCTTCTCCAGCCCCCCTCCCCTTTTTTTTCTGGCTTCTACCATGAGCCTCCTGGAATGCAAATGAACTGTATTATGCAAATATATGCAAATCAGGCTTAACGAGCGGAAGGAGGGGGCAGAATGCCTAATGAGTAATGGCGGAGGGTGCAGATGGAGGGTGGCAGCAATGTCCCCCTCCTCTTCTCCGTTCCCACAGCCTGGAGGTTTACTGGAGGTAGCTGGGTGTCCCTCATCTCTGGGAAAGGGTAGAGGGTCAAGGTCCCATTGCTTCAGCCGAGAAGGCCTGGGATGTCCTTAGCTGTGGTAGGTGAGGGGCAGGAGAACTTGGGAAGAGAGGGGGTTAAGTATAAGGGGCCGGTGCTCACTTGCATAACCTTGCCCAGAGACACTGCATGCACCAGCCTCCTTGCCTATGTGGCCTGCTGATAGCAGAACCCTCAGCTCCCAGTGCTGAAAAGAGGGTGATGCTTATGCATGCCATGGCTTGTGCATCAGAAAGGAGGATTCTCAAGGGAAGATTCCCAGCCAGACCAGGTTCTTCCTGGGGGTGGGGTGAAAGCTGTCTCTCTTTGTACTTTGGGGGTTAGGGGGGCGGTTGCCATAGCAACATAGCATGGAACACCCACCTCCCCAACATCCAGCCCCAGAGGACCTAGGAGTTTGGGGGGGGAGGATAATGGATTGACACCCCCTGATGCCCCCACCACCTGGCACTGCCAGCCGGAGATGGCAGCATCAAATCCTAGAGAGAATGGCCCCTTTGTTTCTAGGCTCACGGTGTTGGGGGAGCAGGCCTGGGCACACAGAAGGGCCTTTCCCAGGCCCCGTTCCAGTTTGCATGACTCCCGCTGGCCTCTGGAGACTCCTTGTGGCCATCCACTGGCAGATGGTTGCCCCCTTGCCTTTTCTCCCATGGGCTTGCCAGCTACTGCTAGGTATGTCTTCCCTGTCCCTGAGGCCTTCCCTCCAAACCTCCTCAGACAGAGGTAGCAGCCTGTTCCCCCTTTTCCTGGCTTTTTTGAACACCTCGCATGCCCAGTCATGCATCTTGTCCTCTTTTGTATGGAGGCAACCTGCAAACTCCGCCAACCAGCACCAGGCCCAGTCCACCCAACCCAGGCAGAGAGACTTCTAAAGGAGGTAAGAGACAGATAGAAAGGGCCAGCCTGAAATTCAGGAGCCTGAATCCTGGCATTTCCCATAACCAGCTGGGCAACCTGATCACACCCCTTCTACTCCTGTGGGAGCTGTAAAATGAGGAATATAGGGCTGATGATACCTAAGCTCATTTCAGCTCGACGCGATCTATACCCTCCATATCTTACATGACAGAAGTTAAATCATTATTGAAATGTAACCTTCATTCTTTCTACTACTGGATCAGCCCTTCTCATTCAAACTCCCCAACATGAAGACAAACCCAATTGCACCGAGACAGGAATGCCAACTTCCCTCAGCCTTTGCCTCTCCCTGAGACTCCACAGCTGACTGCAAACAACTCCCACAGATTCAAAAATGTAGAGTCTTTGATAGCTGACTTTGATACAGACAGGAGGGTCCCTCCTAACAATCTCGAAGTGGGTCAGCGCAGCCATCTCACTCACCGCCCGGGAGCTGTCCGTGGTGCTGGATGTGGCTCTGTCATCCACACGGAGGAAGGAGGGCGGGAGGGTGGTGGAGCACCCACCCGCCCGGGGTGAGAAGCTAAAGGGAAGAGAAGAAGCAGAAATATTTGGAAACAGCAAGGAAAGGGAAAGATGATGCCTGAAGAAAATTTCTCCTCTGTGAAGACCTCCAAATCGCCAATATTACTTTGAGGAAGGAAAAGCACAAAAGTCACTGAATCTCTGATAAGTGCCCCAGATTAGCTCAGTCTTCCTCTAGATCCCATTTGGAAATCCACTGGGAGATGGAATCATAGTCCCTCCCCTTGGGGAAAAGCTCAGATTGAGGTAAGATAAAGTGCAGACCTTTAAATTCCATTCTAATTTCTAAGGCTCCTACAAGGAATTTAGTAATAATAATTAAAAAGATACACAACCTGCCTGATAGTATTACAGACATCAGGAATTTGGGAGGAAAGGCAGGCAAAGAACGGGGTGTGTTTGTGTGTGCACGTGTACACATACACAGGCATGTGGGTACATGAATGCATGTGTGTGTATGTGATTCCCAGGTGGAGAGGTGAGCCTGTGTCAGTGGTTCATAACCCCAGGTGCACATTAAATAATAATGATGCCTAGGCATCATTTCCACATACTCTGATTTCATTGGTCTGGGGCTGGGCCCAAACATCAACTTTTTTTTTTTTAAAGTTCCCCAGGTGATTCCGTGCATAACCAAGCTGAGAATCACTGACCTAGAAGAAAGTGGGTCAGAAAAGGTGCAAGGGTGAAGCCTGATTAGCTGGAGGAAGAGGCAAAGCAAAGAAGAAGGGAATGAATAGGGAGGAGAAAGACAAGCATTTAACTCCTCTCCTGGGAGCTCCTGGATGGCCCCAAGGCCTGGCCTGGCGATGAGACTGGCTCAGGTGTTGGCTTGTCTCTTCCGTGCTGTAGAAGCTCAAACCACCCCAAGGCAATGAGATGAACTGTCTCCCCTCTGCAGTCCCTTGTGCAGGGAATGGGTGCAATGACCCTAAGGGGGTGCTGCTGCTCCCCTTTACCCAGAGGGTCCCCAGGGAGGCGGCTGTGGAAGGTAAACAGCAACAATGGTCCCTTTCAGTGTCCAGACTCCAACCCTTCAGTCCAATTAGCAGACACAGCAAACAGCAATTCAGCAGCCTTCAGCCGCTGTCATAACAAACTCAGAGCTGCCTTAATGGGGGGATTAGGGCAGGAGGAGGAGGGGGTGTCACTTCGGCCCTGGGAGAGCCTCAGTGGCAAGGAGGGGGTTCCCCCTTTTCCTTTATCTCTCCTATCTAAATTTGCACCCACCCACCCTTCCTTCCATAACTCTGTTCCTCATTCTCCTTAAAACCCCAAGAATGTTTTCGTAGTTTTGTCTGCTCCTTCCCTCCAGTGATTTTAAAGCGTTAACCTAAACTTATGATCTCCTAGGGAAGTTGGCACACCCTGTCTCTGGATGAGGCAGTGTTATATCCCCCCGGCCTCCATCTCTGAGGTCTCAATAACAAAGGAAGGGAGGTGAGAAGGTCAATCCGTTCCCAGAACATTCAAGTGAAGGAAGGTGAAAAAATAAATAACCAGACCCCAATTTTCAAACCTTGAACGTGCAGACTTGAAAAAGGACTTTCAGACATAGGGGCCCATGCGTCTCAGGTGGGTTGCCAACCTTAGGAGTCACACTGGGGACTGGGGAGATGCTGGTTTGTGAGGCAAAGGGAGAGAAGACATCCCTTCTTAAAGTCACTCAATTATGAAGACAAGTCTGCATTCTGACAGGCAGGTCTCTATAGGATTTGTTGATTACAGCCACTACCTAACTTGTCCTTTTATTTAATAAACTGTGTTTTTAGTTACTTAGAATCCAGGAGCTTAATGGCATAAGCTTGAAATTATCATTTACACATGCTGTATTTATCTATGTAAGTCAGTTTACCAATCCTAAGTGCTCTTACCAATAAGTCTTAATACTTATTGAGAAAGAAAACAATAGCAATTCTGCCACGTGGACTCCAGCCTCTTCGCTTTATCAGGCTTCGCAAGGACTGTGCCTCCTCTCCCAAGGCTTCAGACACTCCCTACCTAGGTCCCCAGGAGCTGGAAAAGGAGGAAATTCCTCAAGTTAAATATGGTGAGATCATCAGCCCGGAACACGCCAGAGAGGTGCCCTTTTTACATTCTGAAACCAATCACATGCTCTGTCTTTCCAAACTACAGCCTTTAACCTTTCTGCAGTCTGAGAATTACCCTTTACCCATGAGTGTCATAACATAGTATATGATCTTTTATATAGAATTCTTCATTTTCTGCACACAATAACCCTAAGGGTTTCTTATCTTCATTATACACATATCTGAATTGACGCTGGGAGATTTGTGTCGCTGATAAATGGAGACACCAAAACCTTGGACCTTGGCTTGGTCAGATTTGCTCTTTCTGTTTCTGTTTCTGTCTCTCCCACAGCTTCCTGACTAGAATGTTTCCTATGACTGTAAGTACTTATCAACAAAACCCTTTCCATGCCTGGAATTGGGTGGGAGGAGAATTTGTCCCAGAGTGAGGGTGTGGCTGGTAATGCAAAACTTGGGTCAAATATTTGGGAGAAAAGTGCCTTTGGCCTCCTGGACCCAGAATTCAATAGAAGGATATTAAAATCGAGGGCTGAGGACAGAAATGAGTAAAGAAACCAGCTTAGAATTTGGTTTCCAGTAAAAATAGATGTAACAATATCTGCAGCATAGAACTGCAAATTCTTAGACACAGGCAGAGATGCGATTATACAAGAGAGGAAATTTCCTAACTGGTAACTGGGGAGGCCTTTCTGAGCCCCTTTTAACTAGCCTCCTTGCACCCCAGTCCCACAGTTCTCCTGTGGGGTTTAATTGGAGGAGATTCGATCTGGCACAGAGAGGGTGGGGAGAACTCAGCAGTGTCACTGTGATGTCTGCATTTGGTAACCTCCTTCCATATCCAGGAATGTCTGTTCCTAGAGTGGATTTATACCTATACATAGCCAGGTGTCCCTAATGTCACGACCAAGCTTCCCACCCACCATAGAGGGACACACATCCAACCTTACACCAGGTCACACACCACTCAGTTTCTCACCCTCATAAGCAGACACACACAGCTCACAAACACAGTCACCCATCACTCTCCTGACAACCCCACCCACACACCCACATGCACACACCATATGCTCACATAAGCCAGACACAAACCCTCACCCCCACATCCCTCCTGGGCTCTATTCCCCCTTTCCACTGAGGTGCTGGTTTTGTAGGGTGTCAGTTCTCAGCCCCCCCAGTTCCCTCTGCTCTCCTTTGGATATCCTGAGGTAGGTCAAATGCGCTAATCAGAGACAACGATAATAATGTAAACCCATTGTGGTTACTGATACAGCTTCTAAGTCTCATGTGACCGAGCCTCAGTGGATCCCAAATACACATTTTCAGCAAGCTACATGAAAGGTTTTTGTTTTGTTTTGTTTCTTTTTTAAAAAATGGAATCCTATCTTTCTTGGTGCTGCTTCTCTCATCCCAGCTCCCAGCCCTGGCCAAAAGGCAGGGCTTTTCTCTTGGTGCGGCTTCCCTTCACTGTGCCCCATGCCCTCCCTTCTCAGCTCAACCTCATCTTGTCCTCCCTGCTTCACTCTCTCTCCAGCTGTTCCCACAAGCAAGTTCAGTAGCTGAGTTGGGTTAGGCCGGGCAGTAGCTCACGCCTGTGATCCCAGCACTTTGGGAGGCCGAGGTGGGCGGATCATGAGGTCAAGATTGAGACCATCCTGGCCAACATGGTGAAACACTATCTTTACTAAAAAAAAATACAAAAATTAGCTGGGTGTGGTGGCACAGGCTTGTAGCCCCAGCTACTCGGGAGGCGGAGGCAGGAGAATCACTTGAATCCGGGAGATGGAGGTTGCAGTGAGCTGAGAGTGTCACTGCAGTCCAGCCTGGCAACAGAGCGAGACTCTGTCTCAAAAAAGGAAAAAGAAAAAGCACTGGGTTGGAAACCACTGAGTGACATTAGCAACTCATTTGAGTCTATGTTTCCTTATCTGTAAAATGGGGTTAATAACAACTATCTCAGTGTTGAAAGAGCACAGAAAGGGATGTAGGCCCAATGCCCAGGAAGTAGTGTTAGAAATTATTAGTCCTCCCCTGAAACCTGCTCCCTTTCTCCCTAATCCAGTCTCCACCTGCCCCTCCCCCAGAAGACCCAAATTCCAAATGGCTGAGAAAGTAAGAGGCTACTAATCTCTCCTTCCTCTAAATCTCTAAAGGAAGAAGACATATGTATTCCAGGCTCCCTGAAGCACAATTTTTTTGAGTTTGGATTCTCCAGTATTTCTCCCACATAATATGTAATTGAATCATTATCTTCTAGCTATAAAATCAGGTCCTGGGAGAAAATTTTAAATTGATACAGGAAACTGGAGTCAGTCAAGGTCATTTTGTCCAGTTCTTCCACCCCCTTATTACTCCTTCCTGCCCCATGTCCTGGAAGGCCAGGTGATGGCATATGATGGGAGCTGTAATAAATGCAGAGGGGGCTACTTCCAGCTTTTTCTAGTAAATGTGGAATAGCATTTACTTCTATTCCACAAAGGGACTCTAGACTATACTCCTTTCAGCTGCACCTACACACTGTTTCTCTTAAAATATTTAGGTCAAGCCAGATAAATGGATTCTTTTAGGAAAGGCCCTGATTAATCTCTCCAATTATTTGCTTTCTCTGGGCAGCATAGATACTAAGCTACAAATTCCTTTGTGTTTGAGATCCTCAGAGCTTCTCGAGGCCATTTGTTCTTGGAGATGATTTCCAAGAGTGAAGATGGGGTGGGAAGATTGGGTGTCCTAAACGGTCCCAACTCAACCCCTCTGGTGAGCAATGACAGAGCAGCAAGAGAATCTTTTAAAAACATTGTCCTCAGGTCCTGGGTCGGAAGGAGGAAGGCAAACAGATATGGAACCGAGGTTGCTCTGCACTCCACTGCCCCAGAACCCAGACTGGGCAAAAGGTTCTTCCACCACCCTATTTATATTTTTGAGCAGCCCTCCCAGCCCCAGCACCTTCAGTTCTATCTCCACCTATTTTCAAGTCAACACCCTCATCTTCCAACTCAGCTGGATAGCCCTTCTTGGCTTCAAGGAGCCGACTGAAGCAAAGACCAGTGTTCTCCGATGACTTGCTCCAAACTCCCTCACCCAGCCATAGCTGTGGACAGCCAGTGGGAAACTATTCACCAGCTCCCGCTGGAAGGAGAGGCCTGGGCCAGGAGCCTGAATAACCCTGCAGCTAGATTTCAACGGATTTCTCCCTTGGATCAGCTTCCCAAGCAGTGACCCAGACGGCCACAAAAGGCCCCATTCTGAGTGGGGACCACCAGAGGGAACCACAAGCAGGCTTCCTTGCTCCCTGCCCCCAACTCTGCGGGGGGGAAAAATATGGCACCTGGCTAAAGTGAAATAGGACTGTGACTCCTACCTGTGCCGACCGGGGGGGCTAGGAGGTGAAACGTCGCCCGAACCAGTGAGGTCTCCTCTTGTATCCTCCTGTGCTGGTCAGTCCTCGCGGCTCTAGACCCTCGCTCAAGCCTCCCCCTCCAGCCGGTGAGACCGGCTTTACCCGGGCCCCTCTGCGCAGTGTATGGGGTTATTTTTACTTTCGGTTATCTAGCTTTATGAAGACTCCACACCACTCATACAGCTAGATAACCAAAGATAACAACCAACCCCGCCTCCTGGCTGCCGTCGACGCCTCTTCCACGCAGCCTCCCGGCCACCTCCGCCGCCTCAGCCAGCACCTCCGCAGCCTCCCGGTCGCCCGCCAGTGGGAGTTGGAGAGAAGGGACACGGGTGGAGTTGGGGGGGAGGGTGAAGAGAGAAAATGAAGTCCAAGACAAAACAACAACAAAAACCTCAGACACGGGGACACAGACACGGCAGAGACTGAAAAAGGCGTGGAAAGGAAGCGATGACCGGTGGCGTCGAAGTCTAGGAGTTGACCCCGACCCAGACCCAAAAAGCTTCTAGTGCCCCAATTTCCCGCTCTCCGATTCAGGCCAGGAGCAGGAGTTCCGCTGGTGCCCGTGGAAGGGACGCGTGGCTTTTCGTGCCACCCGGGAAGACCGCAGGGACGGAGGCAGAGGCCTCTCCAGCCTCGCCGGGTCTCCACTGCCCTCCTCTGGAAGACCGAAGGCGCATCCGACAGCCGGAGCCCTGGCCTTCCGCGGAGCCCGAGCCCGGCGCGGGGTGGAAATGGGGAGCGGCCGGGCCGGCCGGACCACGTCGCCAACTCACTAGGGCGGTGGAAGCGAAGCGGAGCCCGCGCGGGGGAAAGAACTGGAACCAAGCGGCCGACTAACAGGGGAAACGGGCAGCCGAACCCTGGAGGTAAAAACCCTAGAGATGTCCTAATAGGAAGCAGGGAAATCTCTGCGACCCAAAGAGAGAGGGTAGCCTGTCGGGGGCGGGTGGGGACGGCCCGGAGACTCCCAAGCGAGTCCCTGGAGGAGAGGAGAGGGCAGAGACCACACCCAGGAAGAGATCCGGGAGAACACCCACGAGAGGGGCGGAGGGGAGGAAAGCAGAGGGCGGCCGGGCAGGTGAGCAGAGCCCCGGAGAAACGGCTTTGTGCGAAGAGGACCAGAGATCACCCAGGGTTGTGAAAATGGCTGGGGTTTCGAGGCGAGAGGTGCCCTAGGGGTGGGTAGGGGGTGCGATCGGGAACGGGAAACCGCAGCCCCGAAGAGGATGGGGGCTCGGCCGGCCCCTCGTGGCGGACGCGCCCGTACGCCGGATTCCGAGGCGCTCGCTCACCTCGTGCCCCACGCTTAGCCAGGCCACTTACATCGAGCCCAGGGTGCCCATCCGTGCTCTCCCGCGCGGTCCTCCCCGCCAGTGCCCCTGGAGCGCCAGGGCCCTGATTCCCAGACGTCGGGGTTCAGCGGGCGCCGGACGGAGGAGCCCGCCCAGCTCTTAGACTCCGCCAAGCCTAAGCAAGCAGGGTAGAGCGAGTCTCACCTCCCGGCTCCCTCCTTAGCCTCCGCCGCGGCTCTGGCCCCGGCGCGCTCCGGCTCCGGACTTTTCATTCATCCTTTCACACTCCCTCCCCAGACCATCCTCTGATTGGCTCTACCGCGTCTGACGTCACCGCCTCGTCCCCCGCCGGCCCCGCCCCTCCCCCTTCCCGGGCCGGCCCGGGAGCGCAATTGGGGCGCCCCTCCCCCCCGGAGAATGGGGATGGGGGGACTACTACCTCTCTGTGCTGATTCTCAGCCTCACGCTGCCTCACACACTCCCGAGACCCGCCTGCCACCTCCAATCCATTGCCATTTGTGGTTTTGATCTCCAGCCTCACTCATTTTGTAGGTTCTACATTTTCCATTTTGGCCCTAGGTATGCTGCACCAACACGAGGGCGCAAAGATGGAAAAGAGGTCAGGTGGAAGCCCCTCAGAAAGAACCAGATGACTACAGACTCTACTCCTACCTTCCTCCTCCCATCGGAATATTCTTTGTGCTTCTCGGGTACCGATGCTTAGCAGACTGTGGGCCTAATGTTTTAGAATGGGCAGGAACCTCTCTCGCTGCTTTTCAACTCAAAACAATGAGGCAAAGAGTCTGGAAGTTTGGGATTCCTGCAGGGAGATGCGGGGGTTGAGCGGGGCTGAACGTCCTTTTTTGCCTTGCAGAAACTGGAATATCTCTTGAATGTGTTGGCAGAACCAAAGTTACAGGTAAGGGAGGCTGGGGTGAGGATTCCAGCTGGCATCAATCAGGGCAAGACCCACAGATTTTCATCCAGCATGGAGGCCCTTGCTAGTGCGTTCTTGCCCTTCTCCAACACGGTGAGACTCCCACCTCTGGCCCACGGTCCTGCTCTAGCGGTCTGGAGAGCTGGGGTGATGGAAGGAGGATCGCCCCCCAGCAAGGTTCCGTTTGGGACTTGCCGGACCTGGCTCCTTAGCAGACACAGCGCGACATTCCTGTCTCGGCCTCTCGGCGCTGGGAATCAGAATAATGCCTAGTCTCAACCTTGAGAGATATCTGAATCCCGCTGCCCTGTAGAGCTCGCAGAACGAGCTGTAGGTCCCTACCTGAGCTCTGCCAGGGAGCAATTCGAATTCCTGGTCCCAAGGCACCCCACCCTTGTACCCAATCTACTCTCCACTGCCTTACTAAAAACAAAACAAAACTATGACTCAGATACCTGGAGCCTGTCAGCCAGATGAACATGGGCCAGCTCCTCTAACCAGGGATCCTTGAACACTAGGCCACCAGGGGTGTGCTCCAGGGGACGACCAGCTTTGTCATCAGGCCCCATCAGATTGTTTTATCTGCCTGTCTGCACAGCCCAGGACAAAGCCAAGCCTGAAAGCTGTTCTTGGTTAGATGCAAGCCTATGGCCAGTCAATTTAATTTGGTGCTTCCCCCAAAGATTGGAGAATATCTGAATAATTGCTTCAATTGATGTTGGCAACATGACTGCAGAGTGGGGGGGCAGTTTGGAATAAGATAAAGCCTGGGAGCCGGGTGTTTCCCTACCAGGATGATAATATGAGGCTGAAGGAAACAATCTAATTTCCCCGGGCATTCGCACTGCTGGGCTTGGCATAGCTTTTTCCTTCTGCCAGTTGCCATGGGGTTTCAAGGCCCTTACCTAAATGAAAGGCTTTCTAGATGCTTCCGCAATGTCAAATTT